GTAGTCTGGTAGCTTAGAGAAGACTGTTGACAGGAATCCAGTCTACTAGTGCAGCCTCAACTCTTGCGTTGGACGCAGTCTCCACGCTATTGGCGGTGCAGCCAAGTCAAGTCAAGTTAAGGTAAGCTTTAGCTATCCAGATGGACGCATGTTCAGCAATTTACAGTAAAAACTGCTGATTAAGTAAAATAACTCTTGACAAATACAAAATTTTGTAAACTGATACAGAAAAAGGAAAAGGGCGAATTGGTGTCACTCGAATGAAGGGGTCCGCGTTCTTTAGCACTGAGGGCATAGTGATAAACAGAAGCCTCGTGTTATTTTACTAGCCGATAGAGTATAGTTTGGTGAGGACAGTTCTCCTTATTTGGTTTCAACAGGTCTAAACGTTTGTGGTCAAAACCAACAGAGCATGAATAGTGCGCAGTATCAGGACTTAGTATTCAAAATATCGACTTTGTTAACCCTGGAATTACTTTGGACGAAAAGGCTACCAATTTATTCCTATAAAACTTATTATATGCGCAGTGGATAAAGTAAAAATGGTGTTCGTTGAAATGGCAACGGCTGATTTGAGAGCCACGCCAAAGCTTTCCCCAGATAGGCGCAATGAGCAAATGTCAGAGGAACTCGAAAATGAAAGTAGCCGTAGCATCGTGTTAGGGTCATGTAATCGGGTTCTGCTAGTGGCAGTAGTGTGAGCAAGGGCTACCTGCGTTCCGATCTACATCAGCGTCCGAACGTTAAAGGTAGTTAGTTTGAAATGAGAAGGAGGCATTAGGGAGGAATTGCATATATGATTGGACAACATACGCTAGAAACTAAATTCCAGATACATGCGGCGGGAACTCGTGCCCAATGAAACACCGTGTTGTAAACTTGACAAGGTTGGGAAGGATTGCCATTGATAGAGAAATGTGACAAAAGTTGAATAAGGTAAGTGGATGGCGGTATGGGATAGCGTGATCTAGAAGAATCGGTCGGCAACACCTCTACCGACGTTGGCATTTCCACAGAAATTGAGTAAATACGTTTTAAAACGTCGGTCCGTAGGTCGCGTCAGCACTGCAGTTATCGTTTGCTTCTGTCGAGGAAGCAGATTTACGTGTGAGACACCATCCAGAGTCTTGTGCCACAGTCTGAGCCAAAAGATAGCGATGCGATTAACGTATATCTCTAACCATTCGGAACCAACAACCAAAGGAAGGATAACACGGTTTTCTGGTCGAGAAAAGCTGCAGCTGTAGTTAAGCGAGCCAACTACTGTTTAAATGGAGTAACAAGAAAGCATTACTGGCGGAGCTGCGTTGTTAGTAATGGTACAGATTGGACGATATACGTGGAAGTGTTGTGGGAACAAGCCGTGACTTGTTTTTCTATTACTTGGATTTCCTCCACTAAAGTGTTCGGTCTTGAAGGACCGAGTATTTTGAGACTAGGGACGGGAGGACACAACGACGGATAGACAGGAATTCATCGATTTTAGCTTTGGTTGTCGTCTGATCAGCGCAAGATTTCCTTCCATGATGTCTTGCGCGAATGCATAAGTTGAGAAAGTAAAATTTTGTATGATATAACTAGCTCGTACCACAGCTATCCCAAATGAAGCACAGAGATAAGGTTAGTTAATGGGAGACTCCAGTTTCTCACGACATCTAACTAACCTTACCGTTGGAAACCTACTGTTGTTAACTCACACAGTTTTTCCGCTCTAAACACCCATTTTCAAAGACAGAACTCGGGGGCATATTTCTACACCAGCCACTCACCACTAACTTTCATACAGTATTAGTGTAAGAACGGGTTTCTCCAGACAACAACAAAATGCTGAAAGTTGGTAACCACCGATGAAGAGTTGGCGACGTGAAGGGCTTCCTTTTTTCTATCAGTACTAACAATAGTAACATAGCTCTTTGAATGGACAGCGCTACCCATCTGTGTAAGGTACCTATCATTTGGCGAACTGAAACAGATGTCTAAGTCTTACAGTAGTATAGCGAAGTCTAATACCGAACTTACACGCGTATAACTCGCCAAACGACCCAAAAACGCGACGCATATTGGAAAACAATCTACACTAATATATTAGTGTCTCTACTGTTATCCAAGTAAGGCATCCTTATTCGCAAAGTTAAAAATAAACGGATTCAGAAGGTCCCCTGGTCGCACACAGCCAACGGTAGCAACTAACATAGAGTACTGACCGATAATAAATCGTGTTAACTTTACTTTACGTTAGATGTTTTTCTCACTTTTTGGAATGGTAAAATCTCTATCTGTCAGTCGTGCTATTCCACGGTTGTCCAATTGTACTAATCATACGGGGTATACCCAAAGTATAGTATAACATCCTGTGGCACGGTAGCCAAGATGTTTTATACCACTAACTAACTTGGGTATTGATGACAGCATGACATGCCGAAAGAAAGCTAACTATGAGTCAGTAACGTGTATTCAGCAACAACAGACAACAACAGCAGCAATATGTCAGCCAATTGAACTGATTCTTCGACGCCATTCAACCACAGTGACCTACGAAACGAAGAACAATGAAAGGAGAGAAGGGGAATTGGGGCAAAACCTTAACGTCCTAAGCAAACATTCAGGGGCGAGGTGTCTACAACTTGTCAATCACACACCGTCGCAAACAGTCGGTTATCATGAAACGATAAGGCGGCATCATCAAGAGAGCTTCCTTCCGGCTTTCACTTCCCCGCGTCTTAATCAGCCATAACCCCGCAGATAAGTCAGCAGGAAACAGGCATTAAAAAGCAGTCCGACTAGGAGGCGGCAGTAGATGCGCCACTGATTTCGACTGTGACTCATCTCCTGTTACGTCTAGAGTCAAGCACAAGGCAATTCAGGTAGACCTTAGCCTGGAAGGGGAGCCGGATCGACGGCTAGAAATATAGCTGTCAGCGAGTTCGTTTCCAGCTGTCATCAACTATTGTCCATCTTAAGCGTTGCGGTACCCTACATCTGCAGACAAAACAAGGCTCTCCTCGGTAACCGGTAACCGGATAGCACATGCCCAAGCCGACGCAACTTATTCAGCGCTATGCGTATTCTATGGAACTAGCTTAGCTCTCACTGCCTAGTACTCGCTTGCGCACGTCAAAGTTGCGGACTCACTGGTACCATCCAACACCAGCAATGCTCCACAGACAGCGTTTAACAAAGAATTGAAGGCACGGTCGGTTCTCAGGTCGAAGGTGCGCAGTCTCACTCCTATAGAGTAGGTAGGCGCACTTTGTAGCCTTGTAAAGGCGACCTTCAGAAGGAGGGAAACCCCCTTCTGCCGCCAAGGATCTCTCAGATTAAAGAAGGCCGTTTCAGCTTTTGTAAGAGGCGAATTGCATTCAGAGCATATGCATGCATCGGTGCTGATTAAGCTGCCAACGAAATTGTACTGATCAACTACCTCGAGTCCCTCGCCATCAAGGGCTTGTGGTCTTGTAACGATACTCTACACTTTAAGATTGCAAAGCCCTAGACCACACTACAAAAGTTATTCAAGGTTGATTGAGCAGTCCCGGCATCGTAAAACAACAAGACAATATCGTCCAAATAGTAAGGAACAACCAGCCTTTCACTAGGCAGCACCTTAACGCTTGCATAGTGAGGCTACGGAAGGGAACACTCAATGATGAAACCCAAAGACGAAGTTGAACGAAATGGGGAAATTGGACGATCCTGAAGGACAGCCGTTTTGTCAGAAAGATATCAGATAAATCACCGTAGACCCAGTCACGGTTTGTCTCGTTCCAGTGCAAATCACTTAAATGTTCACAAATTTCATGGGAACACCTATCTGCACAAGTATTTCCTATAGAATGCATCAATCGACTGCGTTGAATTCACCTTCGTAGTCGAGGAACACAGATATTGTCTGTCTGCTTTACGTGTCGCGCTGCTCTATCACCTGCAACAGAGTGAATATATGATCTATACAGCCCTGTCCGGGGCCAAAATCTGCCTGCACCTGCTTTATCCCTGATTCCTGTTTAGCAGCGATGCGATGAACAAGGATTGAGGGTAGTATTTTTGTCATAACCAGTGTTAGTATAATACTTCTACAGTTAGCACAGGCGGGGTGACTGCGCTTCTTGTATATTAAAAACGACTTTCTCCAGTTAGCCTGTATGACTTATTCCTTCCAGTCCTGTTCGAACAGGAAGTTCAGTGCTTTACCGAGGAATATTCTTAACCAGTGCACGTGGGAGGGAATCTGAGCCAGTAGCACGAATACAGTTGAAGGATGTGTTTGCGTTTAGGACCTCAGCATCAGACGAAGCCTGTAAACTAACCATCCATAGCTCATTCTGCACCACTTGAGCAGTATAAGGTCGTGAAGCAGGAGGTAAACTGAACTTATCTTACAAGTGCTCCGTTCAATACAGCCCTCTTTATTGTGAATTATGATATCCGAGCTGTCTCTGATTGTCTCACTGACGCCAGGTGTTCTGGGAGCGGTGGAGCGGTCAGCTGAAAGAGCTTGCGGCAATTGCCTTCTGTTTTCATCTCCACCATTTCTTGAGTCCTAATAGTCCCCCAGGCTTTCTTGACAGCACGCAGGGTCCACTTTAGTTTGCGCCTAATACTCCACTGGTCAAACTGTGTTCAGAACCAACCGGGAGTTTTCTTCTGAATTCAAAGGAATGCGTGGCCAGGTTAACTGTCTTTTACTGCTTCTTACCCTGCTTCAGTGGTTGTACAGAAAAGCAGCTCCGGAAGATAAACGGTATTCACCGTCATCCCACAAGCTCAAATTCATTTTGGGTACTATTGCTGTTTTTATCTCCGCCCTCTCCCCACAGGCAAAAACTGAGAACCAGCAATCGCGCGGCTTCAAGTTGTCATGTGACAACTCACAAGAAAATTGACAGGAGAACATATGCTCAGTGCTCCCGAGTACTTTTTAATAGAGTTTTATTACTTTGTTAAAGTTCGCAGCCCAAGCTCACTCAGGAGCCATGGGATCTATCATTCATTTAACAGCACGCAACCACGTGACCAATAGCGTTCCGGACAAGTCGATAATATGATAGATTCAAACCCTTTTCACCTAAACCCGTTAGTCCACAAGGGGGTGGGATGTATGGGCATAAACTGGTATCACTGGAAATCCCGGCTCAAAACTAGGAAAATCCAGGATAAGAAAGACGTGCATTGTTCTATCATTACCTTACGTATGGAAAGACAGAGGCAATAAAATCAGCTGGTGGAATAAATTAAATTACGACGCATCCGTATTCGGCTGAGCAGTAAACATGCCAGAGGAAATTTTGCCTACAGTGGATTATCCACCGACTATACGTGGAAGTTTGCGTTTAATGTTGCAGCTGAAAGACGCTTTACTGGGAAGTTTTAATTTAGTTGAAGAATATCGGGATCAACTCCTTGCCTGCAAGCATGGGTTTACACGCAGCTTGGTGGTATATCAGCTAACGAAGGGGCTGGCCAGTATAACAAGGCTGCGTGAAGACCTGGCCAATGTGGAAGCACAAGCTGAAAGCCGATTAAAAAGGAACCTGGCATTAAGGGAGTATCTTTTAGATAAATATAGCATATCAAATGATAAATCCGGTTCTACTGCCGGTATTGTCAGTCGAATAGGCCAGAATCCGGAGGCTGATCCAAGTCGCCCTGGTACTGGGACTGCAGTACTTGGAAATGCGATTCCTCCCCCTTTGTCCGCACCAGATTCGGTGGAACAAGCATTGCATGGTGGTATGGATCATTACAAAGGTACAGTCGACGTTGACGTCCTAGACGTGCCAGAGGAAATCGATCTCGCAACCACTACAACGGGAAGCGGTACGCATTTATTGCCAGTGGTCGAGTTTTATAGAGGATTTTTCTTCCTCCAAATGCATTTTCAGGTGAGTTTACCCGTTTATTCGGTTATGAACTGTATAAATGACAGTTTGGAACTTCTTCAGCAGGGCCTTAGCTCTGCTACTTTCCAACTACATCTCAAAATACTGCGGTTAAGCGTCAAACAGATTGCAAAGTTTTATCACCACTACCTGCCCAGAAGTACTATCCAACAAAAGTGCGCGAAAAGTATGGAAAATAACACACTACCTTTCAGTAGAAGTTAATGAATAAATAAATAGACAGTATATTATTCTACAGTGCTACGCACGGTTCAGTTGAGTAGTGTGCTTAATTTGTGCAATGAGATCGCATCACATGGTTACTTGTTCCCGTTATGTACAATGGATCAGAAATGGGCTTTCGAATTGATTAGCAGTTGAAGGTATTAAATTGTTTGAGAAACTGGGAACAATAACAAATGTATATTTAACCGAAAGTTCAAGTAAAGTAATACAACCATCCAGGGAACCGTACCCAAGGGACCTGCTTCCAGACAGATTATTCCTTTGAAGTTTTCACTTGCACTTCCAGGCTCCATCAGGCTGTATGCCGGTGTGACAAAATGGCAAGTAAGCTATTGTTTGGTTAAGATATTTGGGGAAATTAAAAACCGATCATTAGAGAATTAGACTGTTAGTAGTTTGATCGAGATATAGTATATTTAAAATACATAACACAAGCCATTACACATGTATTAGATAGCCGTACAAGACAGACAGAATCTATTAACAATCTAGAAATGACGTCGTGGTACATTCGCTAAGTACCCTTGTCTCATGTGCTAGTTCACAGTCTCCGGAACTTATGGATGCTCGCTGATGTATTCCGGCTGGAAGCGAATACAATGAGGCTCGCAAAATTCTCAGGGCGAAACTACGTGCTAGCCTGAAGAAAGACCGCGAAGGCTGGTGTTCTCATCGTGCCTCGGAGATGGAAAAGCCGCTGCCGTTGGTAATCATCGTAGTTATTCCGTCTGATACGAGAAACAGACAGCAGGAGACATCGTGTGAGGGGGACCATAGGAGCTGAAAGGAGGCAACCGATCCACAGCCTGTCAAAACGCTTGGAGCGTTGGGCCGAACTCTTTGCAAGGCAATGTAACCAACCTAAGTTATTGCTTTCTTTTTCGGACATTGAGCGCCCTTCTCCCTGAGACGCCTTCTTGGATCCGTCCTCACGCGCAGAAGTCGAATTTGAGATCAAGCTGTTGAAATTGCATAAGACCGCAAGGGCAGAGAGAAATCCCCCAGCACTCTTCAAATTCGGAGGGGACCTGTTCTAATAGATGATTTACACGAGTTGCTAGTGAAACTTTGGGAGGAGGAGACTGTCTCGACAGACTGGATCCGCTCCCTCATTGTCCCAATTTTCAAGGGACGCTCCCGTTTGGAATGCGGCAATCACAAAGGGATAAGTCTGATTTCAATTTCTTTGAATTGCTTGCATCCGCCAGTCTCCACAGACTGACTGGCACTCATGAAGGCCAGGTTCGTGAAGAGCAAGCCAAGTTTCCTTGAGGTCGGGGCTGCATCGACCATATCTTCACATTGCGTCAATTGATGGAATACCGCCATGTTTATTGGCGACCCACCGTTGTTATGTTTCTTGACATAAAAGGCGCGATCGACTTAGTTGATGGCCGTGCTTTATGGCACTGTCTGCTGAGGAAAGGTGTGACTGATTAATAAGTAAACATTATCCAAGCCCTTTACGTGCCTTTACCTAGGCAGCTATATTAGCACCCGTGGTATTGAAGATGAGATTACGAACCGTATAGTAAAAGCTCGAGATGCTTTTGCCAACCTCCGCCACCTGTGGCGCAGACGCAACATTGCTCTTGCCCTGAAGGGCAGAGTTTATAACGCAGCTGTCCGTTCAGCTCTCCTATATGGTTATGAAACCTGGCCCATCAGGTCGACAGACATAAAGAGGCTCGTCATATTCGATCATCGCTGCCTTCGCAACTTAGCTCATATCTGGTGGGAGCACCGCGTGAGCAATGAGTGTGTTCGGCGTCGCGTATTTGGTGCAAGAAGAGCGAGTGAACCGCTCAGCACCATTATATCACGCACCAGACTCCGATGGCTGGGCCACGTGTTGCGGATGCCAGCACACCGACTACCGCGACGTGCATTGTCTGCGCATTGTGGGTGCGGTTGGAAGAGGAGGAGGGGAGGCCAAGCGATGACTTGGTCGAGAGAGATGAAGTTGGCATCGGTTGGTGCACCCCGACTGTCTGGTTGGGGCCTTATGGACGATGAACACGTTTGATTGAACCCACTTGCTGATATGGCTAAGAGCCGGCCCAATTGACATTTGTGTTGTGAGTTCCTTTGTCTATCCCCCACCTGCTTAGCATCTCCGTCCAATCACGATCTCACTCGTTAGGCATAATATAACTCTTTTTACGGCACGATAGCCAGCTGTTAGCTCTCCGGAACGATGTCCATCCCTTACTGGGGATTCCGCCGGCGTGACACTATTTTTATTCTTTTTGTCCTTTGTATTGCGGCAAAATAGCTGAGGTGTTTTCAATCTGCAGGTAACGTGTATAATGATAATGATGATGCTCACATTGTCAAGCTTGATCACTTTAAGGCAATGAGTAACAAAGAACTGCACAACGATTTCCGGTCACCTGGCCAAATGTGCTTCATACACCAAAGCGCTACTGATCCTCTTGCTTCACCAGCGAACGTCATCGGATTGTTAATAACTGGATAAAGGAAAAAATGAGAGAAAAGCATATTCTTAAATTCAAGAAATAGTCGAAGCAGTTAGAACTACTTCCTAGAATAAGTAAATATGGAAACAAGACAGTGAATGAAACAGTGCTACCATGATTATTGCCGCACCATTTTAACAACTGGGGTCGTGGTATGCCATTCTGGCTCAGTCTTCCTGTCAGCTTTTTTCACACCATGTTGCCTTGTCACCTGTTGACCAACTTGAGGGCTTCTCCAGACCAGGTACCGTACTAGTAACCTGGACAGCTGGCAGAAGAAGAAGACGAAGAGCTGGGTGATCAGCATTCAATAGCGGATTAATTCTTGTAAGTTTTGATGTCAAACAAACTGTAACGTATCTGGAAGGTGTACGACAATGGTTAACGGTCAGCAACCAGTCAAGTATGACCAGTTTTTAATATGGTGAAAGCTGACATAGTTCGGGCAGGGTGAGGGTTTATGGCAAACTCTCGCCACCCTTCAGTATCACCAGCGGTGTGAGACAAGGATGCCCGCTGTCACCTTTCCTCTTCAATTTCGCTATTGATGAAGTCATGGAAACAGCGTTCGCTGGACACGACCTAGAAGGTGTGGAGCTACTCCCTGGTGAGCGACTTCTTGACTTGGAGTACGCAGACGATATTGCCCTAATCTGTGACAGCTCCCAAACATGCCAAACAGCACTGAACCGATTAGCACTGGCTGTCAATCGTTTTGGGCTATGCTTTGCTCCATCGAAATGCAAAGTACTTCTCCAAGATTGGCAGGGACCCAACCCTGCGCTAACACTTGGTGGTGATCTGCTAGAAGTCGTTCAGGAATTCAAGTACCTGGGCAGCTATATTAGCACCCGGGGGATTGAAGATGAGGTTACGAACCGTATAGCGAAAGCTCGAGGTGCTTTTGCCAATCTCCGCCACCTGTGGCGCAGACGCGACATTACTCTCGCCCTGAAGGGCAGAGTTTACAACGCAGCCGTCCGTTCAACTCTCCTATATGGCTGTGAAACCTGGCCCATCAGGTCGACAGACATGAAGAGACTCGTCACATTCGATCATCGCTGCCTTCGCAGCTTAGCTCATGTCTGGTGGGAACACCGCGTGAGCAATGAGCGTGTTCGGCGTCGCGTATTTGGTACAGGAAGAGCGAGTGAACCGCTCAGCTCCATTATATCACGCACCAGGCTCCGATGGCTGGGCCACGTGTTGCGCATGCCAGCACACCGACTCCCACGACGTGCTTTGTTTACGCGTTGTGGGTGCGGTTGGAAGAGGAGGAGGGGAGGCCAAGTGATGACTTGGTCGAGAGAAATGAAAACCCTCACTTCGAAGTTGGCGTCGGTTGGTGCATCACGACTGCCTGGTTGGGGTCCTAAGGACGGTGAACACGTTTGGTTGGACACAATTGCTGATATGGCTAGGTGCCGGCCCCAATGGCGTTTGTGTTGTGATTTCCTTTGTCCATCCCCCTCCTGTTTAGCATCCCCCTCCAATCACGATCTCAATCGTTTGGCATAATATGGCTTTCGTTTACGGCAGCCAGCTGTTAGCTCTCCGGAACGATGTCCATCCGTTACTGGGGACTCAGCGGGCGTGCCACTGTTTGTTGTTGTTGTTTTGTTTTTTCTTCTTTTCTTGCCTTTTGTATTGCGGCACAATAGCTGAGGTGCTTTTCACCTCCAGCTAACGTGTAATGATGATGATGATGATGATGGTGAAAGCTGGACAACCTCTTACTTTAATCAAATGATCGAAGCAGAAACATTTCATCATCCCGCGTCTTTCGTGCGCGACCTCGGTGTACTCTCACGCTGCGACCTAAAGTCCATTGACAACACGAATAGGCTGTACCAAAACAGACTTCGGATGCTTTGGGCGCTCAGGAGCAGCTTCAGCACTTGGTCCGAAGAGATTGCCGCTCGCCTCTTCGTCTCGATAATACGACCAATACTAGAGTACGGCTCTCCCGCGTATTGTCCCATCACGCTGCGCGAGGTAGAAAAGCTTGAGCGGGTGCAGCATGTAGCCACTAGGCTGATTCCCAACTTACGAGGTATGCCGTATAAAGACCGATGTAAGAAACTAGGACTGTACGCCCTAGCATATCGTCGGCTGAGGGTTGGCCTCATCATGACGCACCGGATATTACATCTGAGTGGTTGTCCCATGTTGAGACAACTGCTTCATCTGCGCACACCAAGCGGCACGCGAGGACACCGGTACAAACTTATCGTACCGCAGTTGAAGCGGGTAGCGCACCAACTCTGTTTCGAACGT